ATCAGGGGTCTGGAGCACCTCCCGTATGAAGATAGGCAGAGAAAGTGGGGCTGTTGAGCTTGGAGAAGAGAAGGCTGCGTGGAGACCTCATAGCAGCCCTCCAGTATCTGAAGGGGGCCTATAGGGATGCTGTAGAGGGACTCTTCATCAGGGACTGTAGGATGAGGGGCAGTGGGTTTAAACTTAAACATGGGAAGTTCAGGTTAGAGATAAGGAAGAAGTTCTTTATTGTGAGGGTAGTGAGGCACTGGCAGAGATTGCCCTCTTTAGGTAGTAAATGCTCCATCCCTAGCAGTGCTCAAGGCCAGGTTGGATGGGGCTTTGAGCAACCTGGTCTAGTGGAAGGTGTTTCTGCCCACGAGAGGTTGCAACTGAATGATTTTAAGGTCCTTTCCAATCCAAACCGTTCTATGATTCTATGTGTGTGTTGCATAGTAGGTAATTGCCACCTGTGGCTGGCTGCTCCTCTGCCCACAACTGGGAAGCATGAGAGCAGAGCCCCTTCAGCAGGTTTGAATTTGTGTTCCCTGCTGCTTGGCAGCTCTCTGGAGATGTGGCAGCTGGGTGGCCTGCTCTTAGGGTAAAAAGGTGAGAAGTATTAGAAAATAAAACCACTTTTCTTCTTAGCTGGCAAGGTCAAGCTGAGATCAGAGACTGGTCATATATATATATATATATATATGATTTTGTCTATACTGCGAAGAGCTTAAATTTAAGTTTTTATGCCAAAGAATAAAAAAAAAACACCAGCTGTTGTCTGTTTTTGTACAGACAGGACACTTGGGCTCAGAGAAATGCAGTGACAGCTTTAGCTTCCTGCAGTCGATCTGGCATACCCTGGCACTGAACCTTTAACCATTGCCTATCTAACCGCAGAATTATCTCTCTTTCGTTGCCTCTGTTAGGCAGCCCCGAACCTCATTCCTGTTTCTGACGCTAGAGAAAATTAAAATAAAAGTTTCCTTTTTAAAACATGGCCTTGAATGCAGTAGTTAAAAGCTTGTTGTGAACTCTGTGAGTTGAGAAGAAGGACTTTCTGCCTGGTGATTGTTTTTGATGTGCAACATAAGGTATTTTTCTCTGCTGCAGGATAGCTGCTTAGCACAAGCTGATTTGCCCTGTATGGCTGTTATGTACTTCAAAGTAACTGTGGCTGACACTGGGTGAATGTGTGCATCCAATCCTGGAATCTGGCTGAGAAAATAGATTATATCAACTGTTTGCCTTTGATTAATGAAGCAGGAAAACCAGAAAACAAATAATCTGTTAATAAAGAGACTGCATGTGATACACAACAGTGATTAGGGGGATGTTGAAGACTTTTGGCTCAAAAGCAGAGAATTGTGATGTTTGTACAGGGATTTTTAATATATAGACCACATTCCAGTTCTCTATTCCTTTATAATTTTTTTTTTGGCTTAGATAAAATTGCTTAATTAGCAGTATTTTTAGTAAAATCCTTATTTCAGTTAGATGTTTTCACATAAGCAGTGCAAATGTATTGTAAGTCTCTAAACTGCTCAAGATGAAACTGATTGTGTATGATGGTAAGAAATTACAGTTTATTAAGACTTTTTTTGATTGTACGGAGTGAATGGGTTATAGAGAACAAAACTTACTTTCATTTTTTTACAAGTTTCAACTTTGCCATCGGAGAATATTGAAATTATCTATTGTATATAGATTTTGTGAAGAGTGGGAGCCATAAGCTGACAGCAGGTTTCATTGGATTTTTTGTTTGATTGTTTTTTAACTTAACTTAGTATATGACAAGAAATAATTCCTCCCATTTTTTTCGAGGAGGGGGAACCCTAACAGACTGCACCCCCTCCCCCCCTTTTTTTTTCTTGTGTTTTTAAATAAAGTGTAAACTTACAAAACATACATCAGGTTGCAGATAGGATTGTTTGTTGTAGAGGAAAAAGTAATAATCTTTTTCTGGATAATACAGATTTCCATAATTCCATAATTTGTAATGGATTCCTATGTTTTTAACAGTATGGTTGAGCTGGAAGGGTAGGTGATGGAAACTTAAGAGCGAGAATGAATTTTGAGGACTTGCAGGATCCTTTGGCAACTGTGGAGTATGAGATGGTTCCAGCTAAAAGAACTGCTTCGAATGATGACAGATGTGAATTGTAGGAGTGACAAAGGGGACTTAAAAACCAAAGTATGTGAAATTCATGAGGCAGTAGCTGGGGAGTGGCAGAAGTTGAGATGGGACAAAGGAAGATTTGTACAGGACTCAGGACAAAGGCTGGGGTTCATTTTATTAGAAAAACAAAAGAAAAACAAAGCAGCTAGTAAAAATTACTAAACTGGCAAAACAGCATGTGTAGAACAGCAAACAACAGACTTTAGCAGTGGGTTCTCTTTTAATTTAGTTGACTGTAGACAGAAAGTAGTAAATGCTGAAGGGAAGGGCAGAAGACCCAAAATATAGGATAGGAAATAGATGGTGTGTGAAAATATTGTAAATAGTGATGCACTGAGGTTTTTTGTTAATGTGCTGGTTTTGGCTGGGGTAGAGTTAATTTTCTTCACAGGAGTGCTGGAAACAGTGTTGGCAACAGAGATGTTTTCCTTATTGCTGAGCATTGCTTATACAGAGTCAAGGCCTTTTCTGCTCCTCACCCCATCAGCAAGTGGCTGGGTGTGCCACAGCCAGGACAGCTGACCTCAGCTGACCAAAGGCATATTCCATACCATATGTTGTCATGCTCAGCATATAAAGTCAGGGGAAGAAGGAAGGAAGGAAGGGGGGATGTTCAGAGTTACGACATTTGTCTTCCCAAGTAACTGTTACACGTGATGGAGCCCTGCTTTCCTGGGGAATGATGAATACCTGCCAGCTGATGGGAAGTGATGGATGAATTCCTTGGTTTGCTTTGCTTGCATGCACAGCTTTTGCTTTACCTATTAAACTGTCTCCCTATTTCAGCCCACATGTTTCACTGCTTTTTCTTTACCAGTTCTCTTCCCCATCCCACTGGGGCGAAGGGGGTGTGAGAAAGAGGTGCTTAGTTGCTGACTGGGGTTAAAACACAGCACTTAGTAAACAACTCTGAAAGGAACTCTTCATTCAAAAATAGCTGGGACACATTAATCAGCTAATCCTTGTAATATTTTATGAACTACGTGTCATGACAGGTAGTAAACACTGGAGGAGAGTGGAATTAATTTCTAAGATCTAGCAAGCAGTAAAATTTATCACAATTAAGAACAGGTAATAAGAGCTGCTATCTCATTTACTGGCACTTTTTGTAACACAAAATAAGCTCCAGTAACCAGTTCCTGCAGTCTTGTCTAACATGGGTTTGAATGGGTAATGTCATGCAAGTAATCCCTTTGGATTTAGTGGAATTGTATTTTGACAGCAAGTGTTGGAGGGCCCAAAGCCAGCATGCTGAATCCTGTTGCACAATAACTGGAATAGTTTGAAAATTGAGACATCAGAGCTTCTCACAGTAGCGGAGATATAAAACTAGAGCAGCTATATATTTTTTTTCTAATTTAGTTGATTTATACCATAAGCAATATGTAAAGCTGCCAAACAAGTACCATATTCCATCCTTAGAGAAATAAAAATGAGGCACATAAATTGCAGTAGAAATACTTTACAGAATAATTTTGAGCATTTAGAAGTGTTTCTGATGTCAATTGGACTATTTCTGGTTTTTATTTCTCTAAGGAAGTTATAACTGCTGAAACTTCAGGAAATCATCAATGTTACGTGCTTAAACAATCATAGAGAACTTTTGTGTTTGCAGAAATCCAGAATTCTTGTCTTGGAAAACTGCATTTTTTATATATATATATATATATAAAAATATAACAGGTATTTTTTTAATATATATATAAATATATGTATTTTATTTTATATATATTATTTATAGATATAGAATATATATTATATGTAAATAATATATATTTTTATATATATTATTTATCTGTGTATAAATATAACAGGTATTTTTAGCATATCCTAAACCATTCTGTTAATCGGACTTGCTTCTGGCAAAATTCAAGAAGTAAAAGTTTCTTTGCTTTGCTATGTTCCAAAGTAATCCATGAGGAGGAGAGTACCTGCTGCTGCAAAATGTTCTTGTCAAGGCTTTGAACCCATGATGTGAAAAATTGCTGTGTTTAATTAATTTTTTTTAATGTTTTTCATATATCATTGGCCATATCAGCTTTTTTTCTGAAGATCCCAGTACATTATTACTATGACGAGCTCTCACTACATTTTTTTCTTGAAGGCAAACATAATCTTTGTTTCTGTTACACTTAGATTCTGGTATCTAAGAATATTTACATTGTCACTCATCAGTATGAAGTTATTTGCTTAACCATAAATGGAAACATGAGCATATGGTGCTTTTTTCTGTTTGCTCTGAATCTCTGTAAATTCAGTTGCTACATGGATGTTACCTGTGTTTGCCAAACTAGGATTTCTTTCATCTTTGCATTGCCCCTCTCTTCTCACACTATTGTGATCTTTTGGTTGTAATTTGATTATGTAGTAGATGTAGCTCTAACTGAATTGTTCCTCAACCATGGGGTGCATGGCATTAAAGAGTTGAGCATAAACACTAGTTTGACACTTTGATCTTTCAGCACTGTCCATTTTCCATGCTCTAAGCACTGGGAGGAGTGAGGGTAGAGTTTGCAGGTAGACTAAAAAATGGGTCGTTTGGTGTTAGAGCCCTTTCAGTTCTTTCAGTAACCAGATGAGAAGAAATGCTGCATTTGAACTCAGTTTTGATGAGCTCACAGCTGCAAGAAAGAGTGGTTATCCCAGATTTAGGGTTATCATACTTGGATACTGGCTGAACTGAAGAAATAAGCTTATTCTTAAAGAAAAGATTCTTCTAAGAATAACTTACATTCCCCAGAAAAGTTTAACTTGCTTCTTCTTTATACAGAGCAGAACATAATTTCCCCATCCCTACTTGCTAAATGTTGGGTTTCTGTTAAGATTTACTCTTTCCAAAAAAGATAATATGTCTTTTGCTTTTCTCTTTCAGATTTCCTTATGTGGTCAAGTAGATGTGTTTATTTCAGCCTTAAAATTGCTGCTGCCAATGCTTGCTATGGCATCTGTGGCTTCACCAGTTATATTTAAGGAGTTTTGTCCCTTATATTATCTTCTCAATGCCATTCCTACAAAGATCCAAAAAGGCTTTCGCTCTATTGTGGTATACCTCACAGCGCTTGATACCAATGAAGACTACATTGCTGTGGGGAGCAGCATTGGAATGCTTTATCTCTACTGCAGACAATTAAACCAGATGAAAAAATACAATTTTGAGGTAAATATTAACTTTTTGGTCTCTTCTAGTGAAGCTGAGTTTCTCAGAATTGAGCTGCTGTTCATGTGTCATTAACTTTGTGAGTTTTATGTATGGTTTGTTTCAACAGGGGAAGTGTGAATCTATTACTTTTGTAAAGCTGTTGAGTTGTTTTGATGATCTGGTTGCTGTTGGTACAGCCTCAGGTCGGGTTGCAGTTTTTCAGCTTGTGTCTTCATTACCTGGAAGAAACAAACAGGTAAATCTTTGTATTTAGCTGAACTTCTCTGAGGTTTAATATGGTGAATCCTAGTTGAGCGTTACTGTGATATTTTTTTTTTTTGGTAATAGTGAAAACCAGGGGATTTTTGCCTGATCTGTGAATATGTTTTAGGCTACACATGTTAAGCTTCTAAAAGCAATAATCTTAAAGCATGCTTTTTATTGCAAAAGATATATTTAATCAAAAATGCTTTTGATAAATTCCTTATTTATAGTAACTGGCTGAGCTGTTCAGTGGTGGGGGGCTTTTTATAGTTTAGATTAAATAAAAACTAGAATGACCTGCGCTTTTGTATTTTTTCTCCAGTTTGTAAGAGTCACTGAGAAAGGGCTTTATATCTCCATTTTCTCTTCCTTTCATTCTTGTATTGCTTTTGTATTGTTTCACAGCTTCGGAGATTTGATGTTGCTGGTATTCACAAAAGTAGCATTACAGCATTAGCTTGGAGTCCCAATGGAATGAAATTATTCTCTGGGGATGACAAAGGGAAGATTGTCTACTCTGCTCTAGACCTAGACCAGGTGAGCGTTTATTATAGAGACCTCAGTTTCCATTCACAATTTTCTGAAAGGATGCTTATGTGTTTAAATATTTAGCAGTTAGTTAATTCCTTAGTATCACGTGTTTAGTTGAACAGTCATATTGGTATGCATACTCTTGGCCAGTTGTGCATGCACTCAAGTGGACAACTGTTGGATATCCTTTAAAACTGCCTTACCTTTTTAAAAAACAAAAAGTAAACCCAAAAGTGGTGATCTTTCTCACTTCATCACATTTCTGCCTGAAATGTCTATCATATCTTCCTTCAGCCAGTACTTTATCCTTTGTTAGGAAAGGGTACTTTTGAATGGTGTGATGTTGCCCTTGTGATCTTTCAGAATCTGTTAGTAATTTTTTTCAGTAATTCTTCAGCATCTCAGTGTAGAGTGTAGAATGAGAGTAATATTTGGGTTCTACTGTGTGACTGTAATATTAGCAGTAAATGGAAATTTTTTACTGTCTTGTTAATTAATACAGGCCTGGGATGTCAACAGAATAAGTATTAACTTGAATTTCTATGTGGGAGAAAAGGTTAAAGAACATCCATTCTGATTTACCTGTGATTTTCCCTTATTTGATTTGACAGAAAGGTTTAACATCTCCAGATGTAGTGATTGAGTCGGCATTGTATGACCTGGCAGTGGAGAACAAGGAGAAAAATGTGTCCTGGAGTTTCCGTGGATTTTAACTGAACTGTGTTAGCTAGTATTCCAAGAGAAATTGAATTGTGTAGTGTGCCACTGTGGTACATACAGTCTAACTCCCCTCCTATCTGCATAAAGGAACTCCACATTCTTTAAGTGAAATTTGTGCAACAGTATATTTGTTTCTTTATTTGTTTTCTCTTTCTTTGGTTTATTAATTTCTTCAAAGTGTTAGTTATTACCTTATATTTTTAGAAAGGTTGACTCTTGTTAATTGCACATGTCTTTAAAAGGGTATTTGCAACTCCAACCTTGTATTGGAAGAGCCATCTTCAATTGTCCAGTTGGATTACAACCAGAAAGTGCTGCTGGTGTCTACTTTACAACGAGCTCTGCTTTTTTACACAGAAGAGAAATCTGTCAAGCAAGTTGGAACACAGCCCAGAAAAAAGTAACTCTCATAAAATCTTGGTGCAGGCACATCTATTAATTCTAGATTTTCAGAGTGAATTACAGAAAAAGTGATCTAAGCAGAGAAATTAATACCACACAGCAGTCCGCTCATAAAAAGTTACAGTAGCTATGTGTGCTCAGACATGAATGACAATTTACAAATATGTCAAAGTCATATTTTCAGGCCACTATTATGCAGAAATATTTAAGATGTTTTCTCAGGGTTTAGACTGAAATCACTGCCAAACTTCCTCTCCAGTTTAGTGTCCCTCTTGGTTTACCGTCACTTGGTGTGAGCAAGCATTGTAATTGTCCCTCTAATGGATGGTATAATATCTGATGCAAAAGCCAACTCAGGATCCAAAGTTTTCTTATGCTCACTGAAGTGACTTCAAAGGGAAAGTGTATAGCAAGCACTTAAAGTTGACTTGAAGGCTAGGAACTTCTTGTATGACTTTCTGGCATCTTCCTTTGGGTAATCATTCTTGGATATGAAGGAAGAGGGAACACAGTCTTAGAACAGCATGACTGTATCTAGAAGTAAAGGAAAATGACTCTTGAAAGATGATTTATAATGTGTCTTTCATACAGGATGTGAATAGTAAGAGGAATGCCAAGACCATCTTCTGTACAAGGGCTTTTCTTGGGTGATAGTACTAGTGGTTTTATGCATCAAAGATGAAGATTTTAACAGTTGAGGTCTTTCCTCAAGTGCTTCTTGCATGTCGAGGTAGTCAGTTTCTTAACTGTAGTTTGTAGTGTTTTTCTTGGTTTTCATTAATTCTGGGAGAAGGATGACTGCATAGTAGGATCTTTGAGATGGGCAAAGTACTGATAAGGCTATGAAGATGATAGGAGAAGTCATTTAACTTACCTAATAGATGTAGTATCTGACATCTAGAAGAAAGGGAAAAGTTGTTATTTGGGAGCACTGTTCTTGTCTTACTGTAACCACATTTCTTCAAATGTACTTCAGACATTTGACTGAATACTTCAAAGTTATTTTTGTTAATTTGCAGTTGTAAGTTTGTGCCTTTTTTTTCTTAATTGTTTCTAAGTTGAGTATATAGCTTTCAAAATAAGTTTTTCTTTTGCATTTTAGCACTGGCAAATTTGGAGCATGTTTTATACCTGGTCTGTGTAAACAGAGTGACCTGACACTATTTGCTGCCAGACCTGGGCTTCGTCTCTGGAAGTCTGATGTTCACGGAACTGTTCAGGCCACATTCTTACTGAAAGATGTATTTGCTGGAGGAATAAAAACTTTTGAACTGTATCCTCGTTTGGAACCACCTGACAGAGGAAGTTACAGTTCCCCAGAGAAACACCTTGGGCTTGTTTCGTGCTTTTTCCGAGAAGGATGGGTGCTGACCTGGAATGAATACAGCATCTACTTACTAGACACTGTGAACCAGGTAGATTAATCTCGTGGCTGTGTGTTTTTTCTTGGTTTTGTTCGTGTTATGCCATGAAACTCTGTTTGGGTTATCCATTACACTTTGATGATTTAAATCCGTATTTAAACCTAACAAAGAAGCCTTTATTCTCCCCCCCCGTTCAAGTCGTCATTGCAGTGATATAGTCACAAACTAGCTTGGTGTATTATGTATAAAAATTAAATATATTTAAAGCTTTCAGTCCAGGTGTTAACATCACAATCAATTCTGATACATAGCAAAACATATATAAAAAATTCAGTAATGCAAAAAGCGGTTTAGGTCTATAAAATGTTCCTTTCTATTACTGTTGGTATCTGAAAAAAAACAAGTGTACCATTTTATTTGGTATAGAATGAGCTGTTCACTATTTTGTTTTCTTAAAAGAGCATATGAAAGTGAGGAGGATCTAGTATCTTTGTCTAAAGCTACTTTTGTACCGTGGCTCTTTTTTCTGCATCCAAATTATATATTATTATATTGTTGCTGCTAGTTTGGACAGAGAAAATGAATAGAGCTATGGAATTAAAATTAGTATAAAAAAAGAGCTGCATCATGATTAAAGGGTGCTTTCCTGTTTCTTTTTTCTATTTTATTTTTATAAGATAAAGTCTTTATTCTCTAAGCATGACCAGCAGGTCGAAGGAGGTGATCCTGCCCCTCTACTCTGCTCTCATGAGACCTCACCTGGAGTATTGTGTGCAGTTCTGGTGTCCTCAACATAAAAAGGACATGGAACTGTTGGAACAAGTCCAAAGGAGGGCCACGAGAATGATCAGGGGACTGGAGCACCTCCCATATGAAGACAGGCTGAGAAAGTTGGGGCTGTTCAGCCTGGAGAAGAGAAGGCTGCGTGAAGACCTCATAGCAGCCTTCCAGTATCTGAAGGGGCCTATAGAGATGCTGGGGAGGGACTCTTCATTAGGGACTGTAGTGATAGGATAAGGGGTAACGGGTTCAAACTTAAAGAGGGGAAGTTTAGATTGGATATAAGGAAGAAGTTCTTTACTGTAAGGGTGGTGAGGCACTGGAATGGGTTGCCCAGGGAAGTTGTGAATGCTCCATCCCTGGCGGTGTTCAAGGCCAGGTTGGACGAAGCTTTGGGTGATACGGTTTAGTGTGAGGTGTCCCTGCCCATGGCAGGGGGTTTGGAACTAGATGATCTTAACGTCCTTTCCAACCCTAACTATTCTATGATTCTATGTTGACTAAATTCCAGTGAATGCTTTTGTTAAAGAGTATGTAAATTTGATGCCAATTATTTCTTTCTGTGTTATTTTTATAGGCTTTGATTGGTGGCTTGGAAGGATATGGTGATATTGTGTCTGTGTCTTGTACCAAGAATGAGATTTTTTTCTTAAAGGGAGATAGAGACATAATACGAATTTCAAGTAGACCTGAAGGAGTATCATCAATAGGTTTGTATAGATCAGCAAATTTTAATATGTACCTCATGGTGCATGGTGCCTATTGTACTTTTCAATATAAAACCCCAAACCAACCAAACAAAAAAATCCAACCTTACCCAAAAACAAAACAAACCCCCACACAAAAAACATTCAGCTTATTACAAAAACTTGCCAGGTTCTGTAGAGTTATTTGCCAATTTCTACAGGTTATATTTAGAGATCTGATTTATCTAATCATCTGAGCTTCTGGTTTTGGCTGCAGTGAGAATAGGAGCACTAAGAAATTAATTGTTGTTCCTTTTCCTTGGGAGTGGATCAGCATGATCCAGGCATGTCTTATCTGTGTATTTGAGAGCTTATTCTAAACCATAACTTAAAGCAATCTATATTCCTGATTAGGGTTATCTCTTTACTGATCAATCTCAGTTGTCTGGGCTGGAGATACCTGAATATGTTGAGTCTGTGCCACCTACATTCCAGAGGAAATCTTAACCTTCCCAGCAGTGAAAAAGGAACTGGCAAAACCCCTGAAGAACACTCACTAAAATTGCAAAAATGATTTCAGAGTTTATTTTCTTATTTGTTGCCATCCAATTTCAGCATCTGTGTTACTAGATCTCTCTAAAGGGGATTAATAATACTTTCTTGATGATGGTGCTTTCTGATTTCTTGGTCATAAAGATTGTAAACACCGTTATCCAGCATATTACACTAACCGAAAACTGCTTACGCGTTTAAAATACTCCATCTCAGCTTTGTATTAGCAAAATGCTAGTAAATATGCTGTGAAGTCTCACTGAATGCTAGAGAGCTTAACTTTCTTATCATTGCAGGTACTGATAGCTTTAGTCAGATTTTTTTTTTAAGATACCGAGTGTTTGAATTAAGAAATTAAAGATACAGGGTGACGCTTCAGTGTGTGACACAGTTGGGTCTTCCAAGCTAAAGACTGCTATCATTCTTCATACATAAACATAAATTCAGAATGTAACTAACTGAAGTTTGATACAGGCTTTGGGGTATTTCTTTTAGTAAAATAATTTCATATAGATTTATTTATATGAATATACACTCTGTGTGTGCATATATGTATTTGAAATGTTGTGAACTTAGTATATTTTTCCATTGCAAATACCTTCTTTTCTTATCAATAGGTGCATCTGTATCATCTAGCCCTTTAGTGGAAACAGATAAAAAATTGGTTACTTCCCCTTCAGTTACTGGTGATAAAAATGACTCTGATTCCTTAGTGAAAGATGAGCTGGAAACTCCAGCGCTATTGGAGAAAAGTTTTGATAGAGTGGGAGATGTGAGCAATGAAACAAGAAAAAGGGGCTGCTCTGTAGTAAGTGAATCAAGAAGCAGGAGCAGTTCAATCAATTCCGTGGACAGTGGCTCTAGCTTTATGGTATGTGCAGACCAATTTTCAGAAGCTCAGAGAGAATGTCAGTTTTCTTCACAACGTTTCAGCACAATCAGTTCTGAAGATTTCGATCAAGAACTCATTGTAAAGCCAATTAAAGTGAAAAAGAAGAAAAAGAAGAAACAAGGTAGGTCTAGCAGAACTTTCCCTGCCACTGCTTAGTATTAGAACGTGTTGCTTTTTATGTTTCACACAAAGGAGTGTGTTTGTCATGCTTTGTTTGTATTGTAGTCATGCTCTTGAGATACTTGAGTGGTTATAGTGGGCCATTTATGTTTAAGATAAAAGCCTGTTTTGAAGTGATAAATTGATTAAATTTTTTTGCATCTGTTTGTTTTATTTTTTTAACTTTGTTCTCCTTTATTTAAACATGCTTAAGGTTCTAATGTATGGGTTAATGGTAACATACAGTGGACTCCACTTCCAGTTCTATGTTGGAATTCTATAAAATCTGTTCTAAATCATCCTATTTAGAATATCTGGCAATGTCTTTGCTGTGTCTTTTGTTTTGTTAAAATAGTGTGAGTACTTGATGGTTTTAATTGTTTACTGTGTTGGTGTTACAACTTTAAAATGTTTTGCTAGCAAGACTATTTTGGCTTTATATGTAATATTTAGCGTTGAAGTTAAAAAAAATTAGTCAAAATTTAGATTTAACTCCATTCTTCCCCAGCGATAAAAATGTTAGTTTCTTACTTTGCATCAAAATTTAATAGATTTTTTAAATTTTATTTCTCCCTCTTTTTGTTTTGTTTTATGAGAACAGAAAGTGGCACCAGGAAAAACCACAGCTCTCTGGAAGGAACACCAATTTATGAGCGTCAGCTATCTGGTGATAGTCCGCATTCTTTGAATGCAGACTCCTTTTCCATCACTTCCAGCCTAATGAGTGGTAGCACTGATCGTTTGAGTACTGGATCTCCAGATCAGGAAAGCATGTGTAGCGTAGAGTACCATACCATCTTGCAAGAAGATAATGGTTCGGAAACTTTCAGTGTCCTACAGTCTCCTGAGTCTGCAACTGTACTAATTAATGAAGAAAATGGAGATATGGTTGATGTACAGAAACTTCCAAACAGTGACAGTGGCACGGGTACTTCAACTGTTATAGATACTTTGACATCTGACTCTCCTCTAATCCTCACAGAAGACTTGACAAGCAGCGTTGGTGGTGAAGGTAACGGTAGCATAGTTTCTGTAAGCAATGAATGCTGTCTTGGAAAGCTGAACCAAGAGGAGGAGCAGGATTTTTCTACATTGTGTAAAATGGATGAAAATCTGGATAAAATGAAGCTGGAGGATACCGAAAAATCTTTTGAAGAGCCAGACCTCACAGACCAAGTGCTTTTGGCATGTGACAGCGCACTTGGTGTTCAGACATCACTGACACCAAAGGAAAGTGATGAAACTGGTAGGGAAGACCAACAACTCTCTCTAATACACAGTGCTCTGTCAGATCCTTCTGTGCTCCACTTTGACATGTGTAACCATGTTTATTCCGATAACACTTCCATTTCTGGGTGGAATTTTGAAGGTGCAATCAAAGCTAAATCTAGTACTAGCACTGCTGAATGGGTAAGAGACACTCATGACAGTAAGACTGAGAAATCTGCATCTAGTGATGAAGAGGATATTTATGGGCATGGATTACCGTATTCATCCTCAGAGACCAGCATGCCTGAAGTTGGTGCTGGGCCTGGTTCCCAGGATGTGGCCAAGAAAAGCCCAGATGAAATGACGCTGTTAAAATCTGACCAGGTATGTGTCTTCTATTTAGTTAAAATACATAATTGCAGCATTTTGAAAGAAGCGTTCATGTAATTGCAATCCTTTACTACTACAGGAAAGCAATTTTTTTCTTACCTGATTTGAGTAAACAAGTAAAGCATAAAGCCAAACAGCAGTACATACTGTAACTCTTACAAAATGTGTTGTATCTGAGTTTAGAAAGGTTGATGTGTGCTTACAATGTGAAGAAGCTGCACTGTCTGTATTATTCCCAGCTCAACAAAAATGCTGTCATAAACCCATCCATCAAAGAGTGAACAGCAAAACCAAGTCAAAGTCTGCTCCTTCTTTTAACCTCCAGTAGCCCAAACTCTGCATGATGCTGTTCCCATTTTCAACTGAATTAATGGGGAGTTAATGCTCATTATCTCACATGGCTGGCCCTGGTTAAGGATTGTTTTACTTGCAAATACTCAGAATAAGGATTAGTCTTTCTTTGTGCCGTAGGTAGCAGTTAGTACTATTTAAAATGTAATTTTAAATTTCTTTTTAATTCATTTTAAATGCCTTTTTCTGTTGTTTCTGTTATCTATTCCTTCATTGTTATTTTGTGCATGAGCATTTCCAGAAATAGTAATTCACATATAAACTATAGAAAAGAAGTACTAAAATTAATGATGAAATCTGCAAAATTGCCAAAACCACTAGGAGTTTTAGCAGAAGTCTTATGAAGAAAATACAGTTTTTCTAGGTTGGGGGTTGTGTTTCTTTTAAAATCTGTAACAGCCTTGTACTGAGATCAACCAAATACTTGTTGGTAAAGGTTGAGTTGTAAGATGATGATATCCTATCTAATAACAACTGCAACCTGAAGTGTAGAAGACATCTTAGTTTCAGGTTATGATATTCTTAGTCTCTGGAATGTTTAGAAAAGCTGCACAGATGCTTGTATGTGTATGCACACACAGATGCTATGATCGTGTATGCACTGCTTACATGACCTCACGCAAGCTATCAGAATTTAAACTGGCAGTCTGTAGACCGAATTTCTGCAATATGTGGCTCATTTACCATATGGTTAAATATTTAGCTGCCTGCATTTCAGCTATCTTGTTACCTTTGCTCATCACTGGGCTACAAGACAGACTGTACATTTTTATGTATTCTTTTTGCATATGGTATTTAAGTGTGTGTTCTTTAATAAGAGAAGGTTTTCCACTTTTTGAAGGTAGGTGACAGTGTGGAGGTTGGGGGTTTTATTGCTAAAACTTTTGTTCTGGCAGTCTTATTTCACAGTGCAAACAACTTTAGAGAACACTGACAGATGACTTATTCATTGATGAAGGTACTTATGCACCTTAAGTTTAGTACTTCTTAAATCAAAATATGGGAGCTGCTATGCTTATATAGACATTTTCTTGTGCAGTTTGAAGACACCTGACACTGTTCTGACTCTACAGTTTGCAGAGAGCTGGATGGGGTACTCTGGCCCTGGTTATGGCATCCTGAGCTTGGTTGTCTCAGAAAAATACATTTGGTGCCTGGACTACAGAGGCAGCCTGTACTGCAGCGCACTGCCTGCCGCAGGGCTGCGGTGGCAGAAATTCGAGGAGGGGGTACAGCAAGTGGCAGTTTCCCCTTCAGGTTGGTTGGCTTTCTCTTCTCTGTGACCCATAAATACAAAACTTGCACATGCTTGTGCATTTCTGTTTCTTTCTTATCTTTTTATAAATAATGGGTATTATTTATTAGGTGAAACTGGTTATTTTTCTGAGATTACTGATATGGTTCAGTGCATGCATAATTTCCACATGGGCAGTTTATTATTATCTTAATACAGTATTTCCAAAACCTGCGTTGTATGAGGCTTGTTTCATGTAAAAGTAGTGTTGTGGGTTTTGTTGTTTTTTTTTTTTGTTGTTGTTTGTTGTTTTGAAGTCATACTGGGTGATATGACTGCATCTTCACTACTTCTGTGTACCATAGTGCTATGTTCTGTTTTAAAGTGGCTGTCTTTCTAGCAGGTTCACGTTGCATTTTGGAAAGTTTTCAACATTTGTGTGCCTGATTAAGATGAACTTCAAAAGTAGCAGTTCAGTGGTAGCAGAGGTGAACAAAGATGTCTTTGTCTATATAAAGCTTGGGTTTTGCTACAGAGTTGCTTATGATTCCCAAATCTAAAATTCCTTTAAATGTAGAGTTGGTTTTGTGCATGGGTTTGTTTGTTGATTTTCGTGGTTATTTTTTTTAATACTAAAGAAAGAAACTTAATTTTTTGTGTATTTGCATATGAGCTTGTTCCGGATGGTTGGGAATAAGGATTATGTTGGATTAAAATTAAATGGGTTTTGGTTATAAACTTGCATCATTTTTGGCCTTCCAGATTGTTCCAGGACTGGTGTGAAAATACAAGTTTCTCAGACATTTTCCTTACTTAGTCTCCTGCCTTGGCACTACTTTTCTTCCCCTGTCATCTCTAAAAGCATATGTCAATATTCCCTTCTCTCTGTAGGGGAAGATTTGCTGTCTGTTTCAAGAAGAAAGATGTCCTATTTGACCTTTATATGGTTAAAAAAATTTAAGAGTAGCTGTACTAGGTGAGATCATAGTTTCATCCAGCTCAGTATCTCGTCTTTAACAGTGGTCAAAGCCAGATACCTGCAGAAAAGTAGAAGAAATGGTCTAACATCTATGACATTTGGCCTTGGTGGTTTCAGATTGAAATTACTGGCAGTTGAGAGATTGCTGGCAAAAGGTTGTTTCTCTCTTTTTTTTATCCCTCAGTTTGAGGTACTCACCCGTTTTTTAGTTGAAACTATGGCAATTTCTAGCATCCATGTTTAATTGTGGGTGTATTAACCCAAGAACATGTTAACCACAAACACTAAAATGCGATCAAATGTTACTTTGTGGAATTATAAAAGGGAAGTTCATACGACAACGTGCTGCTCAGGTACGAACTGACATGGACACCAGGCAGCAGTTAAGTTTGTAATTCCATTTGGTTTTCTTTTTCTGAGCTATCCTTGCTAATTCGTGTGAGGGAAAAAGTTCTCAGGGTGGATTTGTACAGTTGCATTTCTTAGTTTTCTTTGCTTGTGATGTGCTACGTAACAAGAACGTAATACCACTCCCACTTCAGTGTGAGACAGTTACGATTTACTACTAGTATTTGTAAAAGGTGAAAGTACTACAATTAACCCCTTTACCTTTGTCTGCTGAGGGTGTACCAAACTAATACAGAAGCAAAATATAGTAGGCTTATTTGGCCCTTGTATGGAACTTGTTCTGTTAGTTTTCAGTGTTAGTTTTAAGGAGAAGTGACTTGCATTTGAACATTTAAAAAATCACACATGCTGTAATGGTAAATGTTCCTAGAAAAGCTGGCCACTGTTCTGATCTTGCGGTAGAAAAAACCCACAAAACTGTATTTTTAGCTCTTGCCTTTTTCGTTTAAATGCTACTAGTTTGTCTTTCCCCTCATTAGTTTAGGTGGAGGTAGAACAAGTGGCTGTCTGTTACAGTAATTGCCAAGTGATACTATGTTCTCTCTTAACTCCTCATACAGGGGCTCTTCTCTGGAAGATTGAGCAGAAGACTAACAAAGCATTTGCTTGTGGAAAAGTAACTATAAAAGGAAAACGCCATTGGTATGAGGCCCTACCCCAAGCTGTGTTTGTAGCTTTAAGTGATGACACTGCCTGGATTATCAGAACAAATGGAGATCTGTATCTGCAAACAGGTACTTGAATTAATTGCAGGCACTTTGAATTTTTCCAAGCTAAGATTAATAGAATTCAAGTCTGTGGAATGATCACAACTTGTTTTAATCTTTTATCCACAGCCATGACACAGAGAAACCTTTTTATCTTGAGAAATGGTTGAAAGCAGTTCTGAGATTCTGTGTAATCAGGAGACTGGAAAAGCCAGTTCATGGCCACTCTGGGGTTTTTTTGTGCGGTGTAGAGTACATACAATATAGAGAATTTATGACATGGAAAGGTCTTGTGATTTAACCCCAGCTGGCAACCCCAGCTCTCTTACTCACTCTCCCATTGGTGGGGTGGGGAGGAGAATCGGAAAAAGGTAAAACCCATGGGTTGAGATAAGAACAGTTTAATAACTGAAATAAAGTAAAATATAACAATAATAAGTAATGAAAAAAGAGGTAACAAAAAGAGAAGGAGAGGAATAACACCCAAGAAAGACTCATGATGCACAATACAGTTACTCACCACCTGCTGACCAATGCCCAGCCTGTCCCTGAGCAGCAATCAGTGTCTCCCAGCCACTCCCCCACCCATTTCTATACTGACTGTGCTCTTCAGAAGAAATTAAGGTGAGGGGGGCAAAAGTAAAGGAAAGTAGAGGCTGTATGTTTTGAAAAGGACAGATCTGTTGGAGGTAAGGATTACCACTTGATAATAAAAGGAAGGTATGCTGAGACAGAAGATCATGAAGTGCTTTAAAAGTATAGGCGAGTGATACGTATTTTATGTGACAGAGAAAGCAAAGCCAGTGGAGGAATGGAATGGGCTGTGGAGCAGCAATCTTTACAGCTGCGTCCTCATGGGATGTGAATGGGACAAGAATCAAAAAAGGTATACTGCAGTGGCAACTTTGAACTCATAGCCTTAGTTTTATCTGCTCAGTGACTAGAAGAGGATGCAAAGAAGGTGTTATGCAAACAATAGTCAGGGTAAATACAAGGAGCTAGGATGAAGAAATGAGCTTCAGGTTTTATGGTTAAGGGAGAAGAGTATCAAGGACTCTTGGGCATGCAGGCTTTGCAGAGAGCTGAGTTGGTAAGGAAAAATTACAAATCACAGTATCACACAGTATCACAGTATGCTAGAGATTGGAAGGGACCTCGAAAGATCATCTAGTCCAATCCCCCTTGCCGGAGCAGGAACACCTAGATAATGTTACACAGGAATGTGTCCAGGCGGGTTTTGAATGTCTCCAGGGAAGGAGACTCCACAACCTCCCTGGGCAGCCTGTTCCAGTGTTCCGTCACTCTCACTGAGAAGAAGTTTCTTCTCAAGTTTAAGTGGAACCTCTTGTGTTCCAGTTTGTACCCATTATCCCTTGTCCTATCATTGTTTGCCACTGAGTAGAGCCTGGCTCCATCCTCATGACACTTCCCCTTTATATATTTATATACACTAATAAGGTCACCCCTCAGTCTCCTCTTCTCCAAACTATAGAGACCCAGCTCCCTCAGTCTTTCCTCATAAGGGAGATGCTCCACTCCCTTAATCATCTTAGTTGCCCTGCGCTGGACTCTCTCCAGCAGGTCCCTGTCCTTCTTGAACTGATGGGCCCAGAACTGAACACAATATTCCAGATGGGGTCTCACCAGGGCAGAGTAGAGGGGAAGGAGGACCTCTCTCGACCTACTAACCACCCCCCTTCTAATACACCCCAGGATGCCATTGGCCTTCTTGGCCACAAGGGCACAGTGTTGGCTCATGGTCATCCTGTCGTCCACTAGGACCCCCAGGTCCCTCTCCCCTACAGTGCTCTCTAAAAGGTCGTTTCCCAACCTATACTGGAACCTGGGGTTGTTCCTGCCCAGATGCAGGACTCTACACTTTCCCTTGTTATAGTTCATCAAGTTATTCCCTGCCCAACTCTCCAGCCTGTCCAGGTCTCGCTGGATGGCAGCACAGCTTTCTGGCGTGTCAGCCACTCCTCCCAGCTTAGTGTCATCAGCAAACTTGCTGATAGTACACTCAATTCCCTCATCTAAATCGTTGATGAATATATTAAATAATATGGCCCCTGACCCTTGAGTCACTCCACTAGATACAGGCCTCCAACTAGACTCTGCCCCATAGACTACAACTCTCTAGCTTCTCTCCTTCAGCCAGTTCACAGTCCACCTCACTACCTGATCATCCAGACCACACTTCCTCAATTTAGCTGTGAGGATGCTGTGGGAGACTGTGTCAAATGCGTTGCTGAAATCAAGGTAGACCACATCCACTGCTCTGCCGTCATCCATCCACCGTGTTATTTCCTCATAAAAGGCTTAAGAGATTGGTCAAGCATGATTTCCCCTTGGTGAAGCCATGTTGACTGCCCCTCATAACCCTCTTATCCTTGATATGCCTTAAGATGGCACCAAGGATAAGGTGTTCCATCACTTTCCCAGGGATGGAGGTGAGGCTGACCAGTCTATAGTTACCCGGGTCCTCCTTCTTGCCCTTTTTGAAGACTGGAGTGACATTTGCTTTCCTCCAGTCCTCAGGCACCTCTCCCGTTTCCCAAGACTTGGCAAAGATGATGGAGAGCGGTCTAGCAATGACTTCCACCAGTTCCCTCAGCACCCGTGGGTGCATCCCATCTGGACCCATGGATTTATGGATGTCCAGATTGCTCAACTGGTCTCTAACCCATTCCTCATCGACTAAGGCAAACCACTCCGTTGACCTGACTTCATCTAAGGTCTCAGGGGTACAGGGCTCTTCAGGACTGCCTGCAGCAGAGTAGACAGAGACAAAGAAGGCATTCAGTAACTGCCATCTCTGTATCTTCTGTCACCAGGGCACCCATCCTGTTCATCAGTGGGCCTACACTGCCTCTGGTGTTAGTTTTATCTGCCATGTATATGAAAAAGCTCTTTTTGCTGTCCTTGACCCTTCTTGCCAGGTTTAATTCTAAGGAGGCCTTAGTCATCCTAGCTGCCTTCCTACATCCTCTAGCAGCAGCCTTATATTCCTCCCAAGTGGCCAGCCCCTCCTTCCATGACCTGTAAACTCTCCTCTTCCACTTGAGCATACCCAGCAATTCCCTATTTAGCCACGCAGCTCTCCTGGCCCTCTTCCTTGACTTCCTACGTGTCGGGATGCTCTGATCTTGAGCTCGGAAAAAGCAATCCTTGAATGCCAACCAACTGTCTTGGGCCCCTTTACCTTCAAGCAGCCTTGCCCGTGGGATTTCCCCTAGCAATTGCTTGAAAAGGCCAAAGTTTGCCCTGCTAAAGTCCAGGGTTGCAATTCTACTTGCTATTCTACTAGTCCTATCACACAAGATCCTGAACTCCACCATCTCGTGGTCGCTGCAACCAAGGCAGCCCTCAACCCTTACTGCTTCGACCAGACCCTCCTTGTTAGTGAGGATGAGGTCCAGCAGCGCTCCTCTCCTGGTTGGCTCATCCACCATTTGCAGGAGGAAGTTATCATCCATACACTGGAGGAACCTCCTGGACTGTGGCTGGGTTGCTGAGTGGTCCTTCCAGCAAACATCAGGGAAGTTAAAATCCCCCACGACCACCACGGCCTGTGGCTGTGAGGCCGCTCTCAGCTGCCTGTAGAAGGCCTCATCAACTTCCTCACCCTGATCTGGTGGTCTGTAACAGACACCCACAACAGTATCTCCCCTGCCAGCCTGCCCCTTAATTCTCACAAATAACATGATAAAGGAAGTACTGGAGAAGTAAGAGGAGGACTGGCCAAGAGGGAAACATTAAGACACACTAAAGCAGGACATTTCAGAGTGGCTATCAAAATTCTTACTTATTTTCCATTTAATTCTAGTACTTTCCTAATGTCTCTTGTGGATTTAATTGCTGTAGCAGGCATTCTTCTTCAAGACATTCTTCTTGAATAAGACCTGTTTAAATGGACAGCATCTTTTCAAAGATAGTCTTATTTTAATTGAGTGTAATAGTTACAGAGAAATCAAGGGACCTGCCCAAGGTCATATGCATAGTGGCAACAAGCATGGATAGTGGTGATAAGGAGTGAACTTTTGATGGCAGTCACACAAGGCTCTGTGGAGATTTGAGTCATAAATTTTTTGCCTGTGAGAGATTGGTGTGATTACATCTGGTTACACTCTGGTCTTTGAAGGGTACTAAAATTGTCTTCAATGCCAAAAAATTCTCAGTTTATCTTTGTTGTTAATGTGTTGCAACCAGTGCTGGTTGTTTCTCTAGGATCTTTTTGTTCCCTCCACTGTCCTGTCTAACTTCCATAACAGAAGTGTGTGCTCAGAGGTTAGGAAATGAGCGTTCTTCTTGTTATTTTGGAGTGTCAGACAGATGAGTCTGTTCATACTTGCTTTGGCAGCAGGAGAAGATTAAGCAAAGGCTATATGTGTCTTGAGGTGTTTCACATACAGCTGTGTAAATCAAGCTGCAGTATAATTGTGAAGATCTGTCACTCTAGATTATATGTATAAATGCGTGCAACCTACCTGTGAATCTGCCAGAACCTGTCTCCTTTCAGTACTACACACTATCATTGCATGCTCTTTTGTAATTGCTCTGCTGCCACTATTCAGATCAGGTTGCTTCTATCTCTAGCATGTTCTGGGTGAAAGTTCTTCCGTTACTGCCTTTTCCTTTGGTGTTTCTGTCAAGGTTAATACAGGCTTTATAAATGGAGATTCTTGATACTAACACTAGGGGGAGAAAAGGAACAGAAATTACAAGACTTGTGTTCTCTGCAGGATGTTGAAGGACAGTGTTATAGTTCTTAAAATATAAATTCAGCTATATTAGAGGAAGTGATTAATAGTTTATATAAAGAACAGTCAATCATGAAGAGAGTGATCAAATGAAAAAATTTAGCATGTCAGGGATATTCCTTCTCCTTATTTTCTTTGGTTGGGTAGCTTTCTCTCTTTTAGTTGCAAAAAAGCCGAAGTTTGTAAAGCAGTCCTTATTTTTTAATTTCTAGGCCTGAGTGTGGATCGTCCTTGTGCCCGAGCAGTAAAGGTTGACTGCCCTTGTCCACTGTCGCAGGTTACATCCAGAAATAATGTTGTGTGGGCACTGAGTGAGCAGCGGGCCCTGCTGTACCGGGAGGGAGTACGCAGCTTTTGTCCTGAAGGAGAACAATGGAAGAGTGATATTGTCAGGTAATGACACTGTGGTGGAACAGCATCATAAGCAGGATGACACAAAAATTATTTTCAATCCTGGAACTCCTTGATGTTTGAAAAAGTGAAACCTGAACTCATATGTACACATACCATGTGTATGTTGATGACTGGCTGCTATATAATGAAAGATGGTCTAGTTCCTACCTCCATTCCATGGGCAGGGCCCCCATCCAACCTGGCCTTGAACACTTCCAGGGATGGGAATGTCTATCAGTATGACTTTTTTTATCAAATACTGCTTCTTTAATCTGTGCCATAATGGCTTTAATGAGCTCTTCAGATATGCAAGTGAATTTTTTCTGAGATTAAATCTCACCATTTCCTTGGTCATCCACACAGCTAGGGATAGGCACTTCCTAGTCACAGATTTATATAAACGTTCTGGGCAATCGGTATTTAGCTTTGTACTGTACTAACGCAGTAGTTAGTTGATGGTAAAGTTAAAAGCACTGAGTCTTTACTGCTGAGAGAACCTAGAATACAGTCTCTCTTATAGCATCAGCCTGAAACAAATACAAGAAGAAATTCCAGTTCTTGTTGTCATATGATTTTATCTTCTACTAATATCCTGTTGGGAAGCTTTAACTTGTAGAACCTCCCAGCCTGATATTTAGCCCTTGAAAAAGGCCTTGTTCAAATCTGGAATTTACATGTACTTCAGTTAGTTTATTTAAAGAAAATATCTGCTTAACCTACACCTTAGGTACAGTTAATGTTCTTGGGCTTTGTATTAAAATTGCCCAAAGCAATCTGTCATTGTTCTTAAATTGTTGAGAAAGGTTCTCTGAAAGAAATAGCATTGTTGGCAACCTTCTAATTCTCTTGATCCTGTTGACTTTCCAAGCTTCAAAACTGTTTACTTATCCAGGAAACTTACATTCCTAAATTCGACATTTATCTCTGCCATATAATTGAGTTTTCTATTTATGGTCCCTGAACTGCTGATATTGTTCTCAGAATAGGTCAAGAAAGTTGGAGGAGATACAGTTATGAAATTACTTTATCAAAAACTTCAAGAACACAACTTTTTATTTCTTATTTACTAAACACAGTTTTTGTTTAGTTACATTGTTATGTATCCAAGTTTCAAATCTGAAGTCATTTTTTGAAGGACTCTTGTTGAATTGTTTTTACTTCTGCAAACTCATAAAATTTGAATTACTGAATAACTGTGAAAATTTGAACACAAATGTGGTTTTGAGCTTGGGCACACTGAGTTCAATCATTTTGAACTGCTGTTAGCGTTGTAGCAGCTTCCTCAAAATACTGTAAGCATAAATTTGAAGTAAGGTTTTTAATTTTTTGCCTGTTTGCATTTCCAGTGAAATGCAAGCTTTGGAACCAGTGTGCATAACGCTTGGAGATCAGCAGACATTATGGGCTTTGGATATCCATGGAAATCTGTGGTTCAGAACTGGTATAGTTTCAAAGAAACCACAAGGAGATGATAACCATTGGTGGCAAGTAGGCATTTTTTTGTTTTGTTCTCAGTTTAGTCTTTCACCTTGGGTTTATTATTTGCATTGTTTTCCCATGAGAGTCTAAGATAAAATTCAATTAATTGTTTGGTCTATTATAGCACTCTTTATTCAAGATATTAAACTTGCAGTGTGGCCATGGCTGAAATCGTTTTTCACCTTTGCTGTAAAAAAGTGTGGGGAAAAAAATTTCATGGTCATCCCAAACAGCATCACAGCCATCTTCAAGAACACAAGAAATGCTCTATCAGGTCATATCAATGGTGCATGTAGCTTGGTATCTTAACAATGGCAATAGGATGTGCTGTTTAGGCAGAGCATTCTGTTTAGGCAGAGCATTCAAGTCTGGCTGCTGAATGCAGTCTTTTGTCTTTAGTAGAATCATAGAATAGTTAGGGTTGGAAAGGACCTTAAGATCATCTAGTTCCAGCCCCCCTGCCATGGGCAGGGACACCTTACACTAAATCATGTCACCCAAGGCTCTGTCCAACCTGGCCTTGAACATCGCAAGGGATGGAGCATTCACAACTTCCCTGGGCAACCCATTCCAATGCCTCATCACCCTTACAGTAAAGAACTTCGTCCTTATATCCAATCTAGTATCAGCCTTTTGTTTAACTAGATGAAATATGTAGTAAGTAACCTTGCAAAAAACCACATCTTTCCATTCAGGTGAGGTTTCTTTGAACCATTTGGGGCTGCTTGCTTCAGTTGCAGATTGTGTGAGTAAAACCAGTTCAGTTAAAGCAAGTACTTCCTGGTGTTGATTTAGAATTCCTGACTCTATTCCCCACCTTTTTTATTTTCCCAAGAGATAAGGGTGAAGAAGAAGGGCGTAGAAAAAGTTGCACATCTAAGTTAGAAGAATTTCAGTTGATGTGCATATATAACTCTTCTTACATTTGGGCATCATGAATAGCTTGGCTTTGAGGTCATTGGCAAACTGCTCTCCTTTTTGTGCTCTTCAGCACTTCTTTCCTTTCAAGGAGTATCACAGAGTGTTGCCAGTCTAGTTGTCCATGACAGAACTTTGGCAGTTGCTTATTTAGACCTGCTTCTGCCTTATGACTTAAAATGCTCATGAGGTTGTTGTAAAGGAGTATTACATACAAGTTTTTCTGATCTTTAAATTACTGCACTAAGCACATTTCTCTCTTCCTTTGGGAAACTGAAAATTCACCTTAGTTTGAAGATTTCAGTATGTTTTTAGGAAGAGAGTGTAAGATGTCATCCTGAAACAAAGGGCTTTCTTGAAATGCAGAATTTAAAGTGGATTGTTGGGTATAGGAGGGAGTTGCAAGATGATGTTTAATAGTGGTTCTGGTTTATTATGAAGACACACACAGAAGAAAAAGCTTCTGATGAAAGATTCTGCAGTTCATCCAAAAGCTTAATTAATCATCAAAACCACATTTTATTTTTTGTTTCTTTTTCTTTTCCTCCAGGTAAGCATCACCGATTATGTGGTGTTTGACCAGTACAGCCTGTTCCAGACCATAATCCAGGCAACTCAAACAATGGCAACAGCAGCTCAGGCACCTGTAGAGAAGGTGGCTGATAAACTTCGAATGGCATTTTGGTCACAGCAGCTTCAGTGTCAACCCAGCCTCCTTGGGGTTAATGGCAGTGGAGTCTGGATCTCTTCTGGCAAAAATGAATTCCATGTGGCAAAGGGAAACTTAATAGGTTGGTGTACTTTTACGTCTAGTATTTTTAAGTTGAGAAAAACAGATCGGGGAGAATAACCAACTACAGTTCTGTCACCACAAAAATTATCGAAGGCGGGTCATGGCAGCTATAACAAACAATTCCATGTTTAAAAATTAACTTAAATGATTCTTTAGCATATAGTCTTAAATATTTTCCATTAAAAGGAAATATTTTTAGTGGAAAAATCATTCTTCACAAGTGAACCATGCACAAGTTACTACTTTTAGTACCTACCCTTGCCTCTTTTCTGAGCTGAGAAGGCAATTTTAAGCTATTGTACCTGTTATATCTAGCACAATGGCATCTGGTTCATGACCAATGTGACTATGTAAAACAGTAGTGTTACAGTTTTACAGTGATAATAGAGGAACTGTTTATTTTTCGTGGTATATTTCTCAGAATAGAATCTTGATTTAGTACATTTCTTTTATCAAGTAAAAACCAAGAACAGACCTAGAACGTTGCCTGTTTAACCTTGTCACTAAATTGGGAAGACCATCAAACTTCTTCCTTATCCTTCTTTCTGCATTCCCAGTTTTCTGTGTTTTTGTGTTTAAATGTATATATATGTGTATGTATACATATACACAAGGAGGAAAAAAGGTCAAGAGGAGCTTTCCTTCTCCCCTCCAACAGTGTCTTAAAAGATTTGCATAGAAAATCTTGTCTAGATGATATTTAATAATTGACTGCAATGGAATTTCTTTTCAATGGTAACTATTGAAATAGTAACTAATTTTAATAGAAAGTTGAGTTACATATTAATACCATTCTGTTATTTCTTTCAAGGCACTTACTGGAATAATATTGTGCCTCGTGGCACTGCTTCTGCCACAAAATGGATTTTTGTGTTGGCTTCTACAGCTTCATCTAAAGAAGGTTAGTGAGTAAGCAGTCCATATATGTAATACCTGCACTTGATGTTTAAATAGAGTAAGTTGATGATAAGTATCTTGAATTACTTCAGAGTTTGGATGCCTTTTCCTTCTGCAGGGATTTAATATATTTGAAGTAAGGTGGAAATAAATCTGTAAAACTACTAGCGGTAAAAGCTACTAGCGGTAAAAAAAAAAAAAAAACAAACGCATATTGTTCACTTGGACATCTTTGGTGTGGAGTGGCATTCAGCAGAGAAATGGGTTGTCCTTTAGGAGCAGTAACTTCCTAAATTGCTGGAGCATGTTTTGCTGGAATGCCTATGCTAACCAAGTACTTCTCCTGTCAGTGCACTTATTGCGGAAAAATGGCACATTTTCCTGCAAAAATGTGACCACACTAGGTAATTCAACTACTAGTTACAATAGTTAGCAGCTGCATTATCTAAGTACACTGGCTTTATTGGCAAAAATATGTGATTTAGAGCTGAAAAAGAATGCTGGTTTTCAAAGGCAGTTATCAAGGGATAAAGGGAAGAGATGGTGCACTGTTGTGTGTCTTCTTTCTGTTAAGTTCTTTGAATGAGGTGTTTCTTCAAATGAGATCACTTACTACTTATTTGATTTGAGAAAAGGAGTATTTAAGTACCAAAATAAGGGCTTAGAATGTGTATTTGTGCTGCAGAATCTTAGCCTGTGAACAGAGCCGTAAGTAGTAGATGTGTAAGCTGTCTTAGGGTGCATTAGGAATTATTTTAATAACAAGAATGTCCTTTCCATAGGGAGCTTTCTGTGGCTGTGCCAAAGCAACAAGGATCTGTTTTGTGTCAATGATCAGAATCCTCAGTTTCATCCTTCTACGGTGCAGCTACCGCCAGAGGCTGAAATGGTGCACTACTCTGCCTGCCAGGATGCCATTTGGGGTTTGGATAGTCTTGGGCAGGTATTTATCAGAACACTTTCATCCAGCTGTCCAACAGGGATGCACTGGACAAAACTGGATCTCTCTCAACTAGGTATGACATTTTTATTGAGTAGACTTTCAACTTTCTTAGTTGACAGCCAATATTTTCCTTCAGAGTATCTTTTGGTTGCTGATACAGAATATTACCTTTACTGGACTAAATGCGGTATAAGCTGTTTTACAGATTCCTGTAAGTGCATATTATCAAAGTTGGCAATTTTCCAGTCCAGATTATAGTTTGGAACCGAGTTTTGGTATAGTCCCTTCACAGATGCCGGTCCTGGTACCTTTTTAGCTCTTGCGTGCGGGAGATGGAGACTTTCTTTGGCATGGCAATTTTGAGATGGATCTGCGGTATCCATGAGAAGTTGAACAAGGTCTTTGTTGCACTGCTAGTATTGTATACAACTGTAGTTGTTGTATACAATGTAGAGAGGATTGGAGCATTCGGTGGTCAATGCATCCAGGGCAGTAATGGGCAGCCTTAGAGTAATGGGCCTCACACCAGGGGGCTGTAAAGCATCAGAAACAGCTATGGCTTTCAGTGTTTCATTTAGCCTTTTGCTGGAGACAACATGTTTACTGTTTACAGGATACTTTATATATGTATGTGTCTTCTTACAGTTTGTCAGTCTGAGGTACCTTGGCCTGACAGAGTGCTGTGCAGGTGTACCTGTAGATTTAAATTAGCCTAGTCCTTTCCAACCTGAACTATTCTGATTCTAGTTCTTGTGCTACAGAGTAACCATAATTGTGTGGTCCTGGGCAGTTGCATATGCAAGGCCCTGAATTTTGTGGTTAAATGCATTCTTAAGAGTGATCAAAGTTTCAGTAAGATCCTGTCAAGGAAAAATTATGCTCAAAGTGTTGCATTACCCGTGAGTGATGCAGCGGGTAACACATGTGTTCAGGTTTATACCTATCTGTTGATTCAGCATAATGAGTGTGCTGCTGGTTAACTGCCCTTTTCATTTGGTTAGAATCATAGAATAGTTAGGGTTGGAAAAGACCATATGGGAGGTGCTCCCATCCCCTGATCATCCTTGTGGCCCTCCTCTGGACTTGTTCCAACAGTTCCATGTCCTTTTTATGTTGAGGACACAAGAACTGTACACAACACTCCAAGTGAGATCTCATGAGAGCAGAGTAGAGGGGCAGGATCACCTCCCTCGGCCTGCTGGTCACACTCCTTTTGGTGCAGGCCAGGATACAGTTGGCTTTCTGGGCTGCAAGTGCACACTGTGGCTCATGTTCAGTTTCTCATCAACCAACACCCCCAAGTCCTTCTCTGCAGGGCTGCTCTGAATCTCTTCTCTGCCCAACCTGTAGCTGTGCCTGGGATTGCTCCAACCCAGATGTAGGACCTTGCACTCGTCATGGCTAAACTTCATAAGGTTGGCATCAGCCCACCTCACAAGTGTCTCCAGGTCCCTCTGGATGGCATTTCTTCCCTCCAGCGTTAGCAACCAAACCACACAGCTTGGTGTCATCGGCAAACTTGCTGAGGGCGCACTCAATCCCACTGTCCCTGTCACCAGCAAAGATGTTGAACAAGACTGGTTCCAACACCGATCCCTGAGGGACACCACTCGTTACTGGTCTCCAGCTGGACATTGATCCATTGACCACAACTCTTTGCGTGCGGCTGTCCAGCCAGTTCTTTATCCACTGAGTGGTCCACCTATCAAATTGATGCCTCTCCAATTTAGAGACCAGGATGTCGTGTGGGACAGTGTCGAACTCTTTGCACAAGTCCAGGTAGATGACACCAACTGCTCTACCCCTGTCCATCACTTCCGTAGCCCCATCACAGAAGGCCACCAAGTTGGTCAGGCAGGATTTCCCCTTAGTGAAGCCATGCTGGCTGTCACCAAGCACCTTGTTGTTTTTCATGTGCCTTAGCATGCCTTCCAGGAGAATCTGCTCCGAGATTTTGCCAGGGACAGAGTGGAGACTCTGGTCTGTAATTGCCTGTGTAATCAGTTTTCCCCTTCTTGAAAATGGGGGCTATATTTCCCTTTTTCCAGTCATTAGGAACTTCACCTGGCTGCCATGATTTCTCAAATATGATGGCCAGTGGCTTAGCAACTTTATTTGCCAGCTCCTTCAGGAGGCGCAGATGAGTTTCATCAGGTTCCATGGACTTGTGGACATTCAGGTTCTTAAGATGGTCTCGAACTAGGTCCTCACCTACGTGTAAGGCTAATGCTGTTGACCATGTTTTGATCATAAAAATCTCCTCCCAGTTTGGCTGTGGAGTAATCAGACTGACAGCTTCATCAATATTCCAAGTAGATTTATTTCTTTGATAGTAAGACTGTTAAAACATTTTTCATGTTAACCTTCATTCCTGTTTCAAATGAAGATAAAAGAAATATAGACTATGCAGCATTCTTGTACCATTTTTAAAATAATTCAACTGTTTTGCAGCTTTTCCATTTTTTGAATGACAATGTTTGTGTCTGGTCTGAAAACAGACAAGCAATTTTAACATCAGGGTTAGGGAAAGGCAGACACAGCTGGCAGACTTTAAGCCCTATGTACAGTCTTAGTGAGCAGTTAGTAATGAATACATCATGGAAATAATTTGTTTGCCAGTTACACACCATGTTTTCCAGACCTGATGAATTGGTTCCAAATCGCTAAATGTACCATAGTTTAGGCACTGCTTGACACCTTTTACCTTCACTGACCTACAGGATAGGTTTGTCCACACTCTCCTTCTCATGTTGCATAGTGCAGTTTGAAACTTTTCTCATGGTGCCATTACTTTCCAGCAATTTAGATAATAACTTTTCAACTGAAATAGTAAATAATTTCTTGCTATTGTCTGAAAATCTCAAAGCATCATAAAGGGAATCAGTGTAATTGGCACTAGCTGTAATATCTGTCGTGTGAACTTGAGCAGTTCAGAAAGTTCAACCTTTATGTTCAGCTGTTCCTGTTAGCTTTGTGGCACATGGTGGTGGTATTGCAAAAATTTGGGGTGAAGAAATTCTTCAAACACCCAGTTTTTACCTGTCACTCTGTGTTAACATTTAAGTGTGAAAATGTTTTAGCCAGTTTTCCTCTGATTAAATGCAGATGGTAGATCACTGCATATCCAGGGTTATAAGAGCTTTTATTTGCACTAATTGGGGCTGAAGAAATTGGAGAACTATCGTTATTCTTCAAGTGTATATTTAAGTTTACTCCAGAAACATTAGGTAGGGGGAGACGCAAGTTGCTGTAAAATGCCATTGAGAATTCTGTATGGAAGTGATGTCGTTACCAGCATTAATGTTGAAATATGAATGTTATGTCGGTAGTATCTTCCTCTTGCCTTTATGTACTGGGAGTAGTATGGAGTAAATTATTTTTATTATAGTTCCACTATCACTATCAAGGTTTCTAAACACAATAGAATGACCTTTAGGTTTCAACAATAAACAATGCCTCTGAATCATGCTACTTTCTCTAAACAGTAGGTGAATGTGGTTAGTATGACCTTCTCCTAAGCTAAAAACGGTAGGAGGAGGGAGAAACCCCAAAACATTTACATAAGGGCTGCATTTTTGAATGTCAAATTGTACTGTAGGTGTAAATAATATCAGCTATGCCAAGTAGGTGATATGTGATTCCATTTGAGTCTCTGATGCTGGTTTGAATCAGAATGTTTAACAGCAGAGACATGTGACAAAGCCATTGCTTCCAGTCATACTTTATGTTAGAAGGAATAATGAGGTTTTAGATAGGATTTTGACTTTGTAGCTGAATGTCAGGCCCCTGCCTGCAAAAGAAAGTTGTTCTAGATGTTTTTATTCCAAGCAGTAGAAAGTTTTTATATATAATTTTGTCATTTGTTTTTAATGTGAAGCTGTACAATGAAAGAACATTTTTTGGTGAGACAAATTCAAATTGATGACAAGATCTGTTTACTATTACAGAAAACCTAATGATAAAGCTGTGTAGTCCTGTTGTTCCCTGTTCTTTCTCCCAGCAAGCCTTAATGACAGAGAATACTGCCTTCTGCAGAAATAAATGCTTTAAACTTGCACTCTGTGGGTTAAAATTGTGCTCCCTTCTTTCAGGAATGCTATATCTGGTGCACTTTACAAGGAGTTGTTGCCAGATTTCACATCACTGAAGAGAGAACTGTTACCAAGGATGGGATATCCCAAGCAGCACTGGCATGTTCAATCAGCCAGCAAAGCCTATTTATAGAATCTTAAGTTTGGAGTTTGACCAGAGCATTCCTTCTGTAGTACATCTGTACTGATTGGGTCCCTCTTTCTGTAGAATGTGTTTTCCATTACTTAGCATGGTGTTGTCCTAACACTGGGAGGAAAAACAAAATCAAATGTGATGTATATAGTCACATGGCTATTTTTAAATGAATGTGGAAGAGTAGGGGTTCCAGTTGACAGCTAGCCGGCTAGCTAGTTCTTCTTAGTCCAAAACTTCAGTTATGCTTCTCTACTATCTTTGCAAACTTTTGGATATGATTTGGTATGGACAAACCAACCAACCAACCAAAAATGCAACCCACCCCAAAATTCCAGAACATACTTATTTGGCAGTGTTGTTTTCATTGTGCTGACTTACGTGCGGTTAATGCACTGCTTTTTGAGATAGCTGTAATAAGTAAGTATGCTGTTGAACATAAATCCAGTTGAGAATTGGCTCCTTTATTTACAGATGTGACACTGGTGTGTTAACACTGAAATGCATAATCCATATGCTCTGATATTTTTAAAGTGCTGGTAGCATTAGGAATGTTCTTTGCTGAATATGTTAGTAGATCAACACCTTCAGAAGTCTACAAACATGGCCAGCTACAGACAAAAATTCATATCAGGTCATGTGAAAGTTTTCTAAGCAGTGATAACATTTGTCGTAGAATGTTTCCCTGCTTGAATTTGGTTATTTTAATAGCATATTTTTAGTGTGTTTTAGAACTTGCAGTATCCTATGACTAAACCATTTATTTTTAGATTTATAAGAGAAGTACCCCACATAGACTACCTGCTGATTCTATTCATTGTATCCGGGGGGGGGGGTATCTCTTTTAAGTTGCATTAAATTTTAATCACCTTTACATGATTGTGTTTAAAGCTAGTTTGATTTAATCAAGTCTAAATAAAAGTTCTCATTATTAGCTGAATTTGAAAGGAAAATGCCAGGTTGCTAATAGTCTCTTTGTTATTAGGTACTGTAAAGCTGATCAGCTTGACGTGTGGAAATCAGCATGTTTGGGCCTGTGACACCAGTGGTGGTGTTTATTTCCGTGTAGGAACACAACCTTTTAACCCAAGTTTGATGCTTCCTGCATGGATAATGATTGAGCCACCTATACAGGTAAAATGTTGATTACAGTTCTTCATAGCATAGTGGTGTAGCATTGTGCGTTTGAAAATTTTTTAACACTCAAAAAAACAATAGCATCAGATTTTAAATCTGTAGCTTAAAACTTTGTCCCACGTTTGAATAATTCAGGATTATAATGTACTCTGAATATACAGCCTTAGCACCATGTCATCCCAAATTGCAAATAGCTTTTTTTTTAACTCAAAAGTGGAAGGTTTTGTTTTCCTTTCTATTCTTAATGAAACTTTACTCTTCTTGTAACACTCAGCTTTATAGGCACGTAGTACAATACAGCCTTAAACTGCATATTGCGTATCTGCTGTATGCTAGCCAAAAGTCTGGCCTGGCCAACAGCACAAAGCAGAAGGTGTGGGAAGGCTCAGCTCAAGTGACGTGGCACTGAAGTGCCTGCCTACCTCCTCCTTTGTCCTCACCCATGTGAGTCTGGGGTGTTTGCCAAGGTGCTGTGCCTGGCTTTAGGGACTTTCCTTTTCATCCAGTAGTTAGTGAGTGTGTAGAACAATTACAGCTCTTCACTCTAGTTCCCTGAATGGGCAAACTTTGTAGCCTTTCTGCTTGCCAGCTGGGAGGATCACAGTGGAAAGAAACCTCTTAAATTACCCTGGGAACATCTTTTCTGAATACAGAGAGTGGACAAAATATGTTTCTCCAGCATCTGGTTCCCTTTTTAATCTTTCTTTAAACCTCAGCATTTGCTTTTGTTGCTGCTCTAATACTTTGCAAGTTAAACTATGAAATGGTAGTGATATCTGTGGTGTTGGTTGGGACTGCTGTAATAGAGCTGACCTCTGACTACTGATTTCATTCTTTGCTCCTTGGCACAAAGTCAGTTGAACTGTCTGCTGACCTAGCATAGTAGCATTGTGTGTGTTTGCATACTTGATTTACGTTTTGTAATGTTGCAGAACTTCTTTTGAACATTTTGAAATATGTGGTACTTTTGAAAGGGCATATTAAGAAATAAAAGTAAATCTGTGGCAGTGGAGTTGCAATAGTTTATTTGGTTTTTACATCATTTGCTTTTAGTTCTGCTTATCTCTCATTGGCCAATTATTAGCTCCTGTGAATCTCAGGGTGTAACAGCAAAGAAAGGCACGGAAATGAAGCTGCAGATTTGCATCCCATCAGTTAGCACAGCACTGGTTAGACTTGTTTTTCTGTACTGGGAATGTAGTCAGTCAGACCTGGAGAAATGGCAACTTGTTTTGCAGAAGAGCAGAACAGACTAGTAAATAAGTACCAATATCACTTGCAACAAAGGCTAGGTAGCACTGCTCGTTCTTTGTGTGTTGCAAGTATGACTCTTTAATCTGTAAGAGACAAATTTTCCCTGCTAACAGGGGTAGGGCAGCAGGAAGAGGAGACTGGGATATTGGGGATGATGGCTTCCATAAGGGTAGTATTCTTAGAAAGGGGGCAAAACACATTCCAGTATGTTTTCCACTTAAAATAGGGTTTGCCAAGAGACACAGGATTGAACTTGTATAGTATCTTCTTACCAAAGATTTTCCTCTCCAGGAAAGTAGCCTGAAAAGCTGTCTCTCTGCACTGATACTGTTTTCTCCGTATTAAATGCATTCTCTACTACTCCACTGAAGTAGATGAAATTACTCAATACTAAGGTGTTCACAAGAAATGGGGATTTGTTGTGGCTCATTATTTAGCAGTAACTTCCTTTTGTAGAATGTCTTTAAGTGGACAGGGTTGAAAATCAAATTATTTCCTATCAGTTTATCCAGGAAGCTGGATGATGTTGCCTTCCAAAATGATAACCTTCTGATACCCAGAACAGTGTCATTCTCTTTCATGTTATCTTGCCAAGACCTGACATGCAAATGTAATGAGTCAGTATGAAAGGGCAAAAATTCAAACATTGTTTGGAAAGATGAAAGCTTGTGGGTTACGTGTTCATTTTGAGACAATTCTAACATGTTAAAACAGTACATTAAAGTACTGAAGGAGCAGCCATTCATGCTTTTACAAAGGCTTCATGCAAAATAAGAAAATATGTGAGCTTTAAAATTATTTCCAAATGCTGGCTTAGTGTTTATATAACAAATAACACCACAATGGCTGAGAAGTGGACTATTCCATGAACAATATTTGCTTATTAGAAGCACCTTACTGCTATCTGTCCTTTAACTGACTTTGACACAGTTCATGCTGTACCACTCTATCTTCAGAGCAACAGAAATACTCTAAGAAGTATTTGTGAACGATTCAGTCATTTTCTGTTTGAAGAACAAAATCATTGATCAAAATCATTGCCTTTCACTTGCTTTAAGTACAGGAGCATTCTCAAATAATGCAATTTAAAACCAACTATGGATATTTCATTCCCTAGTAAATGTCAAAGCCAATGTGACTTGCCATATCCCAGATCTTATGACTCATGAGCATCTTGTGAGCAGCTACAGACTCTGCTTTTATGGTGTCACTTCTTGTTAAAGAAGTGCTGCAATTGCAGAGCATCCATCTTTGCAGAACTTCACAAAGATATTCAGAGGCAATAGTTCTGATGAGGTTTTACTCATGCTAAAATCTGTAACTGCAGTGTAAGTGCAGTCTTTTCTCTGTGATGCTTTATGGTTTGGGAGGTTTTTTATCTAGACTGAAGCCATTTGCATTTGCTGCTCTTCCCTTTAAGTCCCTACTGCAGTATCTCTTGACATAAAAACAAAACAAATCAAAACATTTTATGTTCTCTGCCCTCCCTCTTCTTAATTTTATCCAACGCTTCAGAAGTTGTTGATAGCATCATTACAGCATCTTGAGCAGTAGCAGTTTATGTGTAGATGTTTTCTGTGCTTTATCCATTCTGTTCTGCAGTCATAGAAGTCAAAATAATTGTGTAGCTAAGCAGTTTTTTGGAAGCTTCTTTATGGACATTGTCAAAGCTGATGAAAATTCTTTGATGAAACAATTTTAGTCCAGGAAATAGAAAGTTGTTTTCATTCTATTGTTAATATACAGGATAAAATTATTATCTGATGTAGCATGTTTCAATATACATTAAATTTAATTAAAAGAATGAGCAGGAAATATAAATATTACGTAGATACTATAAAGTATGCTCATATATGTGTGTGCACATATAGTTGTGAAGATTTAATGCTTCATATTTTTGGCCTAAATGAATAATAATTAAAAATTAAATATAAAATTACTATAGTAAATAAGACTAATTTGGATTATTATGGAGCAAAAGTTGATCAAATAAAAATGCTTGTTTGAAAAAAATTCCTTTGACATTTCAGGTTCGATTTTTGTCATTTTCTGACAAAGATGAGACAAAAGGTGATCTTGAGAAAGCTCACTTTCTACAAGAGCTGCTTAACATAAAAACTGGCCATAATAACCACCTTCTAAGGTTTACATTAAGAGATCTATCAGATAAGCAGAACTTTATATAAGAGGATTAAAGGAAACAAAGATCGGGGCAAGTATTTGTAATGAGTGACCAATCATTTATTGCATGGAAACAATCAGTCTTACTCTAAAAATAGATGAAAACATTTTATTAATTGCCATTTGCTTAATTGTTACTCTTTGCTCTTTTGTAACCAAATGTCATAAAGAAAAGGATTGAAAAAGCAATTTTGGTAAATCAAGAGGTCTGTTTGAATAGCCACATAGCTTGTCCAAGCGGTGGAGTAAAAGGAGCTTATGTTTGGCTGCTGTACAAAGCTTTCGTTGATGCTTTCTAGTTCCTAAGGTCTGAGCAGTACTGCTTCACTTAGCTTGCCATAAAATGGTCTTGTGCAGTATATGCATTTCAAGTTAGGGAAACTCTTGATTACCACTCTTTCCATAAACAACCTCGTGATTGTCTCTTTGTGTAACTTTATTACAGGTAAGAGAAGAGGGTAGAAATGCTTACTGATCTAGGAGGAGCTATTTTCTCATTATCCCTTCCCCCTTCTTTCCACCCCCCACCCCCCCAAAAAAGATAATTAAGACTGTTCATGCTTTCACTGTCATTCAGAAATTCTTAAGACTGTGAGGCAAACGGTAGTTAAAAATATCAATTACAGTTTAGGAAATGTGTCTGTAATTCTGCAAAATCAATGTACACTACATTTCATTTGTTTTCAGTACCTTCCGTTTTCTTAATCTGCATCTGGTGTAGAGAGATTGGTTGGGCCTTATGGATGAGTGGTGATTTGTTAGAAATGGTTGTCATGAGCTTTTTTTTCCTTTCCTCTCTTTAAATAAAATTCTAGAGAACACTTAATGCAAATCTGGAGACCTTCTTCCTCTGCCATCTGCCTTGCCTTTGCATTTTTCAGAGAGATTTCTGTTAAGGCCAGTTTTGTGTTAAGTGGTACTTACAGGAGGAAGCAACGAGCCCTCCTCAAGATCAGATTTTGCCATTACATCTCTTTCGGTAGGTGCCAAAATCAAAGCTGAAATGTAGGAAGGGTTTGTTTGAAATGCTCTTTAAGAACTGGGTGTTGGAGGATGATGGTACTCTGTTGAAAATGCTTCATAACTTTTACTTCAGAATCATTCATGCTATTTTTGAGCATGAAAAACTGCTCTTTCTTAATGTACATGACTGTTCTTTTCAAGTCTGATTTTTCATTAGCACAGACTAGCTTGCATTACCCAGCTGTTACACAGACATCTAAGTTGCTATGAGTTCTGCTTTAGAGTGCTAAGATGAGATGCAGAGGAAGTATCTTTTACTAGACCAGACCAATTCTGCTTAGGTTGAAGAGGTAATACGCTCATAAAACCTTCTGGTTATTTACAGACCAGGCTAGCTAGTCTGTTGTTCCACGTATCTTTGGTCATGTGAGGCCTCCTGAAGACATTAACAGGGAGAGGGTTTTCTTGGAGAACTGCATGTTCCAAGGTGATGCACATAAAAACTGTTTGGCAGTGGTAACTGTATCAAGGTGGGGCACAAATAAGTACAGGAGATCAAAGTTCCTGCAGCAGTGTATTTTATTTAGCTGATTTAAAAT